AATTGAGTTAGAGATCTGAAACTTTGAAGGGCGTTTAGACGTTGACCAAATCGACTGTAATTTTTTTTTTCATGTTTAAGGAGTACAGTATCCAGTATCGGGAAGTGGGCTTCCTGGAACTCCTGTTTTACAACAGATTGTCGTGAAGTATATCAATATGTATAGATGTATATAGTGTATTCACATAGCCATGTGCCTACGCGTACTGCGTGACGCGCTACTGCAAGCGAGAGGGCTCTGGTTAGAGCAATATAGTGTAGAATGGTTTTTTAATGCGTATTTAGTAACCTTCCCTTGATCCAATTTTAACAAAAATTGGTTAGCTTACTCATACACTTACAAGGAAAGTGCCCAACAAATTTTCAGCATATCAAACCATCAGACAGTATGTTACAGCTAAAAGCAGCGTATTTTGATCACTATATCATTTAATATCAGCTCCGATATCCACCAAATTTTTCGGACAGCTAACAGTTGTACTTGTAAAAGCTTTATTGGAAGGTCTTCAGTCTTCACAAATTTCACCTAACCATGTGCTTTCGCGCCACTTCGGGCGCGCTTGTTTCACAAGTCAAGAGGCGGGCGCGCGCTACTGCAAGCGCAAGGGCTCTGGAAGTGAATAGAGCAATTCACAAATGACAATGTTGAATGTTCAGAATGATTTCATTTATATTAAGGAATAGAAGATATGACAGAATAATAGTAATACGACAAAAATCAACGAATTTCGTCAAATTAGGCGACTTTTACACTTACTTTTGCTCGAAAACCGCGCACCATCAAATATGGCACTTATATATTAGGTGAAACTCACTGATCATTTCAAAAAGGTATAGCAAATTTGGTACTGTGAAAATTCTCACAGTCTCTAGTAAGAAAACAGTGCTTTAGCGCGATGCACTACTGGGTCGCGCGACCCAGTATAACTATATAGTGCATCGCGCTAAAACACGCGCGCGCACCAAATAATGCTTCTCGGTAGATCGGCGGGCTTTTACTAATTCGCTCGCCCAAAAATTTCACGTGACTTTGGTTTTTATGGTTTTGCAGCCGTACAAAACGGTTTTACATAAACCCTAATCCCAACCCTAACCCTAACCATAACCCCGAAGCTATCCATAACCCTTTCCACAACCTCGACAAAAATGCTGACGTGCTCTACCTCGACTTCAGCAAAGCCTTTGATAAGGTTGACCACAAGATTCTTCTCAAGAAGATCCAGGCCTTTGGTATCCGTGGTAAGCTCTACGACTGGATAGCCAGCTTTCTTACTGGCAGAAAGCAGCATGTTATCGTGGATGGGGTCATGTCCACGATCATCGATGTCATCAGTGGGGTTCCTCAGGGTACTGTCCTAGGTCCCCTTCTCTTCCTCATCTACATTGACGACATCTTCTCCGTTGTCAAGCACAGCAAGATAAAAGTGTTTGCAGATGACTCGAAGCTCCACAAAGATATATTTCCCCATATCGATCGCATCCTTCTCCAAGAAGATCTTCTCTCGGTTGTGAATTGGGCTGATGCTAACAACATGGAGCTTAACGAGGAAAAGTTCCAGCTTCTACAACACGGCAAACTACAAGACTTGAAGCAGCCCTACATCCTACCATCTGGAGAGACTCTTAAGGGCTCTGACCACGTGAAGGACCTGGGTGTCTATATCGACCCAGACCTCAACTGGCGCACTCACATAGCGATGAAGTCTGCCAAAGCCAGAAACATGGCTAGCTGGGTGCTACGCACCTTCATCTCCAGGGATGTAGCGACCATGATGCTCCTGTACAAGTCCTACGTACGATCTCATCTGGAATACTGCTGTCCTCTGTGGTCTCCTCACATGCAGTGCGAAATTATCAAACTCGAAGCAGTTCAACGATCCTTCACTGCTAAAATCCAGTGTCTTGAATTGGAAGTCTCAACTACTGGGAACGCCTCCGTCGCCTGTCTATGTACTCCCTTCAGAGGCGGTGTTATTAACCACGGTACCAATTTAATCAGGTGTTAGTTGCAAGTACCGGGTAATAATCACCTCTCCCATGTCCATGGTATGTAGTACTTTATTTCCTCCAAGAAATTATTTATTTAGAGCTCCTTTTGACTTGGCTAGAACTATACATGGGAGGCCCCGGTTATATCAAGAGAGTCCGTTTCGGAAGGTTCTGAACCCACGATTGAGCGTCTTAAAACTTTTGTTTTATGGAAATTATAGTTTTGCTAGAATTCAGAGTTTCATGTTACTTTTTATTTAATTTAGTGCGGTTAGTGATTATAATTCAGACTTTCAATTTTGGTGGGTTGACACAAATTGAAACGACAATATAGAACAAAATATAGAACAACTAATGGTAGTATAATTAATGAGCGAAAACCTTCTTGTCTTGAAAGATGTTTATATAACAATGAAAGTAACATTTTGATACTATACTAATTAATTGACACGGTAGAAATTCTTCTCATAACCTAATTAAAGGAACTATCTTGGTATCTAAGTATATGCTGGTGCAATCACCTTATGATAAGTCTCTCTCTTAGAAATAGTGTAGGAGGGCTGGAATATCACGCGTCTTTGACTGAGTCTCACCGTCAACAGTTTGACTGTCACGAATGGTCTCGGTTGACGAAGGAGAATCAATTACTCTAGCAGGTATCGGCAAAGGCAGCACGGTTTGAGCAGGAATGTTCGTGTCTCTCTACCTCGAGAACAACTTCAATCCGTATAATGGTCCAGGGTCCTTCAAGTGAGAAGGAGATCGGGAATCTTATCGTCGTTAGCTTACTTCTACCCGGAAACTTAATAGTCACTGTTCTTTAATGTACGGTGGAATCTATTCGATGCGACGGATCGGATCCACTGCAACTGGAATACTTATGACTGGAAAGGTTAAAGCACCCGGGCGGAACCAGCTTACTCACTTACTGGACTCTGTTTACAAGCACGTTGCACTGACACAACCTAACAGACTGCCCTGACGTGAGAAAGACATCGGTCCTTCGATCATTCTCCGCTATATCTCCCTGAATTTCCCAGAGTCTATTCTGCCGTTCCAGCCTTTTCTCAGGGAACGCAGTATTGTTCATCCCGATCGAAATTGCTCCTCCTTGTTTAAACTCCCTGCTTATCATTCCTCGTCACGCTTCGTCTTGTGATAGGCTGGTCTTGTGCTCCTAATTAACCCCTCTATAAGTCCGTGGTAACTCATCAAGCGTGTCAAATGATTTGATAGTTTTCTCACAGAAAGTGTCCTTTTGTTAATTAAACGTCAACGTATATTCCATTTCTGGTATACTTCTATCGTTAACAAATTTACTATCTATCCTCTATGGAAATGGTTGTTAACTATAAGCCTAATTCATTTAACTATCTTTAAAGGAAGATTGAAATTAATATAGAATTTCGAGGTTCCTTACAGGCGGCGTGAGAGATACACTATCATCCTAGTTTGGAAGATCTATAACAATCTCGCTCCAAACAGTATGAACATCAACTTCCGCGAGACCTCACGATACGGAACTACGTGTATACGACCACTAGGGTCCTCCAAGTACAATAGTGTCAATAACCTGAGGTTCAACTCCTTTGCCTCTAGAGCCTCTGCACTGTACAACGTGGTCCCTCCTAGCATCAAGTCCCTCCTAACCTTGACCACTTTCAAACCTGCTCTTGATGCTTTCCTCAATGAATTCCCTGACACTCCACCAACACCTGGGTACACTGGACAGAACAGGAACTCAATGCTGGAGTGGGCCGGTGGCACATGTGTCTGACGTGCTACTACTTGGCGGTGGAGATGCAAGACATTCTTGGCCTGGTAGCACTCTAGCTCGGAACCCAACCCAAGTAACCCAAGTAAAGTAACAACCCTAACCCTAACCCGAGCCCTAAACAATCGAATTCATGTTTTACTAGCCTGTCACGTGACCAAAACGGTTTTTTGCCCATAACTCTCCAGGGAAGCATTTTTACCCTACGTCATGGGGGGTGATTCGGAATCAGCGTCCAAAAATACACCGATCCAGATTAAATTCATACCCGAAGGGCCTTTTCACAAGAATTTTCTTAAAATTTGGGCGAGCGATTTAGTAGGAGCGAGATCAGCGAGATGCACCACTGTGCCTTACCGAGCTGCGAACAGCGAAGGATTTTGACGGATGTTACTCGTCTAAATTTCTTCGAAGTAGCGCGCGCCGTTTTCTTCTCGAAATGTTATGGCCCGACGGCAAGTGCTACGAAGTAGCGCGCGCCGGGCCAGATCATTAACAATGGTCAACGAAGGATTGACATCGTGAATCAAAAAACAGTGGTACAAAAATTTTGAAAATCCGAACAAGTTTATTTTATCGTGCACCCCCTACTTTGTATCACGTCGTGACCCCCACGGTCGTTTCACTATGGTGGGGTTTCACTGTTCACTATGTTAGAATTTCCACGATACAGGGGGAGCCGCGCACTCGTGCGCAGCGGGTCGTACAACGTATGACGGACAACACACAAACATACAACAAAATTTGCAAATTTATTTTGCGTAAATAACTTTGCGCAGGTAAATATGGCACGCATTGTATTCGATAATTCAATCGACTGTTTGTTCATAAAACCCGTCCCCGATCTCGTACTGCATACTGGATCTTTCTACTTTCCTGTTTCTGCAGATAAAAGTTTACTCACCTGTTGTTGTATTTCAATGCCCTTTCACCACTGACCAGCGATAGATTTAGCTATTTCCATGAAGACGCTCCCCACCCCCGGCTACCCGCCCCCTTAGGCTTTAAAGTTAAATGTCCTCGAATAAAGCTTTCGACTTTAGTCGGCTTTAACCAGTCCACACCCTGGCTCCGTAATATGAAGGCCTCGTTTTAACTTGTAATGAAAAGCTCTAATATACATCATTTGTAATGCCGCCAGCTTTCATTGATGTTCTGACTGTAGGCAGTGCAATATTTTCATTAAAGCAGATATCATTCTAACCATCATTAATCTCCACAACACCTCACCTAGTCAGGATGTATTCGTACAAACTATTGTCCTTTCTCTGCGCTCTCACACTCTCCTTTTCCAAAACCAAAGTAGGATTCCTTATCTCAAAACAAGACAGGTACAACAATGCCCTGAAGAGCTTATCCAGCTACGCCGCACAGAACGTGTCCTATACTCTGGTAACAGTGGAGTATGATGACACCGAACTGCAGAGCATGATAGAAGCATGTTGTCAGCTGGTGACGGAGGGAGTTTCTGTGGTCATCACCAAAGGAGATTCTCCAAACACCGCCATTCAGTCGGATATATTCTCACCCTTGAAAATACCACATATAGCAGTCTCAGCGACCGATCCGTTTCTTTGGAATAAAAATCGGGAATACATCATTCGAATGTTGGCATCGGATTTTTATCAGAGTGAAGCTATCTACAATTTGATCAAATATTACAACTGGCACGAAGTTTCAATTCTGGCAACGGCAGATTCGTATGGACTAAACGGGATTGTAAAACTAGAAAATTTACTAATAACAGACTCAAGTGTAAGGATAAAAGATATGATAGTTCTCTCAGCGGATAATACTACAACAGAAATATCAGGCCCACTGTCTGAGATCCGGCACTCCCTTGTCAAGATTATCGTACTCAATGCTGCAGCTGAGTTTGGGAAACGTGTCCTGGAAAAGGCCCACGAGTTAGGTCTGATGGGACCAGAATATGTGTGGATAGTTACAGATGCCATTGCGACACAGCCTCAATATTTAGCTGAAGATAGTGGTAACTGTTTGAGTTTCTATGAGGGATTAATAGGGATCAAGTCAGCACAAATAAAAGGTAACAAGTACAAGAAATATAAGGACTCTTACATTTTGAACGGCGGTAAAGTTGAAGATTTGACCAGCTACACAGATCTGACTTATGATGCAATAGGATTTGTTGACGAAGCACTGATTGGAGTTTCAGAGGACATAACACAAGACGTGGATTGTTCTTCTGGATCAGAAGGTTGGAACCAAGGTAAAACTGTTCTGGATTCAATGCTACAAACCAGGTATACGGGAATTTCTGGAGGAATCAATTTTACAATTAACGGAGAAAGGAATGAGCCGTCTTACGAGATAATGAACTTTGTGGATGATAAGTTCACTACGGTCGGTACTTGGACCAATTCATCAGGCCTCCAGATGACACAAAACATGCAGTTTTTTGACGGAACCAATCTCGTTCCAACTGGTGTTACTAAGAATCTGGTAGATAGACACCTGAGATTAGGGACAGTCGAGGAGAAACCTTTCATGTTTCATTCCACAAAGGAATGCGAAGGAAATGCCTGCTGGTCGGGAATGGTTAACGACATGGTGGTACGGCTAGCTGAAGAGTTGTTTTTCACATACGAGTACATTTCTCCCGCTGATTTAAAGTTTGGAGCAAAAAACGAGACTACCAAGGAATGGAATGGGATGATCGGAGATCTGCTAGCGGATAAAACTGACATAATAGCCATCGACCTGTCAACCAACTCAGCCAGAAAAACTGTTATTGATTTCAGCTTTGGGTTTATGGACGCAGGCTTAAGAGCGGTGGTGAAAGGTGAATCAAAGACAAGTAACAAATACTTCTTTTTGTCTCCATTCGACCCTCTTGTCTGGTCGATGATTCTGCTTTCATATTTCATCCTGGTTGCTCTCATCTCCTGTATTGGTAAGTTTTCTCCCTATAGTAAGTATGGAACTAAACTTTACGCCGTGAAAACGTGTTCTTGTAACCAATGTACAGGACAGAGATCTGAAATGAAGAAGAGACGGTGCTCAATACATGGCAACAAGCTATATGTTTGTCTTATAGACAAGGCAGAGGAAGAGGGCAGAAGTGAGGAATCTTCCTTTAACAGCTCGTTGTGGATGATGGCCACTGGTCTAGTGGGACATGCAATTGGAGCACTCCCTAGTATATCAGGACGGTTCCTCCTCATTATTTGGTGGACGTTCATGTTGGTTGTAACCTCCATGTACACCGCTAACCTCACTGCCTCCCTTACTCTCAGTAATCTCGACACTTCTCTGAATACAGTCCTTGATTTACTGGCACAGGATACGTACGAGTGGGGGGTCATTGGGAGCAGACATCCTGAGACTCTTCTAAAGACGCACATGGACGCCAGATACAAGAGACTTGCTCATGAAGGAATAAAGTTACAGGGACTCAACGATGCCGTGGATACAGTACGTCAAGGTAACTTTGTCTTCATAGATGAGTCGCCTGTCCTGGCATACAATCTCGGAGGGGACTGTGATATATTTTCTGTCGGAGAAGAGTTTCAATCCTTTGCGTACGCTTTTGGTTTACCAAAAGACTCTCCGTATAAAACTTTTATAGACACATATCTCCTAAAGTTTAGAGAAGAAGGTTTTATTGACAGTCTGTGGGAAAAGTGGACAGGGGGAGCTACCGTTTGTTCCACATCAGTCATGGCAGAGAAGGTTACGTTGAATCTGGACACTTTAGCGGGAGTGTTTTATTTACTTAGTGCAGGAGTCGCGATTTCTTTCATCCTGTTTTTGGTTGAGTTTGTATATGTTTCTGTTAATGAAGCAATGCAGATCAATGGCCTAACTTTTATGAAGGCTTTGAAAAGACGCTTTAGATTTATCTGGAATGACTTGTCAAACCGAAGAAAAAGTCGTAATAAAATAAACATAAATCGAGATGTTGAATTAGGAACTATAGCAGAAAATTATGACGATGGATTGTTAGGAACTATAGCAGAAAATTATGACGATGGATTGTAAATTTAGTAATTGTGCTGTGTACACACTTGTGTTAGATTATATGTAAATTATTCAAGGTTGTTAAATACGTCAAATTTTCGTGAAAGAATACGACGTATTCGGTTCTAATAAAGAATACGTCGTAATACGCCGGAATACGGTCATTTCTATGGATTGTTAAATACGTCCACGAATACGCCATAATACGCCGTGTCAAAATTAAACATTACAGCTGCGCGCCACCCTCATCATTGATCATGCATTAAAGGAGTGCAGTTATACATGATAACTTAAATTTGTAATCAAATTTCATGGATAATAAGCTAACATTTTTTGCGAAATTATCAATTACATATTAATACATATTTAATGATTTCGTTTCCTAAAACGATCTCGCAATTATCAAAGTTTAAGACCATTTTCTAAAGTTCAGTCCCCTCAACATATTTGAATTTTTGAATTTTTTGAATAAAGAATACGTCGTAATACGTCAATTTTCGAGGATTAATACGTATTCGTATTCCAATACGTATTCCCTCCTAATACGTATTTAACAACCTTGAAATTATTTTAAAACGGCGGTTAAACTTAAAATCGATAAACATATCTAACACATGAAATATACCTAAGGGAGCGTTCACATATGTGATATGATGTCAGCAAGATTTTGGCCAATTTTACCCCCCTCGGCCTCCCCCTGTCAGCAATTGACCCCTGAAACCACCTTCAAAACCTATTTTCTCCTAGAGCTTTCATCCGTATCATTTCTAATTTGGAACATATGTTCCTGACATAGGCACAATCGATTATATTAATGCATGATGCAGCGACTTTTTCCTTTTCACCCTTTTGTAAAAAGGCAATAGTGAAAGGTTTACGAATGGACGTTTTTGTAAAAAAACGTGGATTTTAGAGATAGCGGTAGGGGGGTCTGAATATGTCGTGTTCCTTACTTACTTCCTTCCGTCCGTTACCATGACAACTAGCGCGAGGAATAGGATTGCTTGCGGAGATGTGGTGTATAGCTAGTCTGTGGTCAATAAATGCGCGGCACGAGCGTATTTTAATGAATACTAGTAATGTATAGTATTTTGTAATAAGCCCAACTTGAACGTGGCACGCGTAGTGTACTGATGTTTCAATATTGTTATTATAAGGTGAGCTGATTAGAGCTTATAGTTATATTAATAGTTATAGTGAAATGGAAATCTAGCGTCCGCCAAAACGAAACAACGGGCGCAATTCTTGTTAAAATGTTTCTCCTTACTCTTTTTATGAGGTTAACTGTTGACAATTTAATTTCGTGACGCGCACTCATGGCCGTAGGAAATGCAGATGATGATATTGATTAATCACTACATTTGTGGCTTTTTTAGCCCGTTCTCTAGCTGGCCCTGAACGACTATTCGAAACCCTAACAGTAAGTAGTAACACTTTAATCTGATCCTAACCCTAACCCAATCCTTAACAAAAGCATATGCTGAAACCCTGACAATGAATTAGATCATCACCAACTTCATTATACATTTATACGGTCTAGGGCGGTTCACAAAACCACTTTTCGTTCAAATAATTAGAGATCACCTCTAATTAGTTGCTCTATAGGGTCAGGAACAACAACAACAAAATTTTTGTCTCTACGGTTTCGTCATTCGTATAATAGTAATACTGACTTGAGCCACGCCCATATTTTTTACCAATTTTTAACAGGTAATAATAATAGGATTATGGCCACATAGCCATCTCGACAAAACTTGAAACCCAACTGCAGCTGCACTCTACGCTATTGCAGTTCGCACAATATTTTCAAAAAGAAAAATGTTCCTATCCGGAACATGTAATGATTAATTATTTTTAGGACGTTAACATGTAGTAGGTAGTGCGCCATCGACAGTGAGCCGCGCTTGCCGACTGTAGGATGGTTTTTTAGCGCTAATTTCGGCCAGCACAATTTTCTTCAAACAAATAGATATTAATAAGTATCCTTCCCGACCTCTGATTGCAACAAAAATTGATAAGCTTACTCATAGACTTACAAGGAAAGTGTCCGAAAAGTTTAAAGCATATCCAACCATCAGACATTATGTTACAGCTAAAAGCAGCGTATTTTGCCCCATTTTGATCACTATATCAACCCCGATATCCACCAAATTTTTCGGACAGTTGTGAAAGCCCTATTGGAAGGTCGTCGCTAATTTTCAGAATGATCTCATTCAAGGAACTGAAGATATATCCAAATAATACGACAAAAATCGTGACTTTTACAGCTTATTTTGCTCCAAAAGCTGCGCACCATCAAATATGGCACCTAGGCGAAACTCACTGATTTTTCCAAAAAGGTATGACAAATTTGTTACTGTGAAAATTCTCACAGTCTCTAGAAAACAATGATACAAAAATTTTTTAAATCCGAGCAAGTTTATTTTTATGGTGCACCCCCTACATGTAGTTCTGAATTTAACAATCAAGAAACATTGATTCCTCGGTATTTAGCAATCAATGGGTTATTAGACATGAAATATGCATATGAATCATGCTCACATGTATTTATTTTTGACATCAAGGTTTCGCAGAGATCCCAAAACGAGCGTGCTTGATTCACGATGTCAATCCTTCGCAGCTCGGTGAGGCACAGTGGTGCATCTCGCCGATCTACCGGTTGCGAGAAGCATTATTTGATGCGCGCGCGACCCAGTAGTGCATCGCGCTACAACTAGCGTGCTAAATCACTTTACAGTCGATCTTCGAGATTGTTCTAAAAGGGCCCCCGACAGTTGAAATCAACTGCAATCAATGTATTTTCGGACGCTGATTCCGAGTCACCCCCGGCCCCCATGACATAGGATTAAAATTGAAAATGCTCCCCTACCGAGATATTGGCGAAAAACTGTCTCGATCACGTGATATGACCGTATAAGGAAGTTAGTCTAATTTCTCGTTAAAGTTTCAGCATATGCTTTTGTTACGAATTGGGTTAGGGTTAGGGTTGGGATCAGATTAGAGGGTTAGGGTTTAGAATAGTCGTTCAGGACCAGCTAGAGAACAGGTTGAAAAAGTCACGTGACAGTCGAGTGTAGAGTGATTAATCATCATCCTTCCCAGAAGTGACCCTTTGACGATGCTCCACTCGCTATCAGTTCATTTTTATAACATTAAAGTCGAGCTTTGAATGCGTAAAATTCTCTAAATCGTCGATTTAGTCACGAAGGAGTGTTTTAAATGTGTTTTAAATTCGTGCGCGGCGGGTCATACAACCTATGACAATGGGGACCTCAGGCTATCATATTCATTAACATAACTGATAACACCAAATAGAGATTTGGAGGAATGACAGGCTGAGCGCGGCCCGGCCCAGTGGTAGTAAGAATTTGCGCATTGCGCTGAAACGCAAGATTCACTGCGCCAAAAGCAAAGGTCATAGAGACACGAGACCTTGACTATAAAGTTAATCATTTCATACCATTGCTATAAGAGTATAGTTATACCACTTTCAGAGTCCTGAACACACTCCTTTATCTCTTAATCGTCAATTATATGAATTTTACCTGTTGAAAAATATATCATCTTTTACTGATATTATTTAGTTTAACAATGTTAGTTTTTAAAAAGAACATTATACTTCACACCAAACTAACATACAATATGAGAATATAACAAAAGGAAGGTTTTTTCTCATTCTGATGACGGGGTCGTTTAGCCCTAGCTGTTATGAATATGATCGGTAACGTATTCAGCCGTCTGACGGATGTTATTTCATCACAAAAGTTGAGGTGATAATCTCAAATCTGTTGGTGTTAGTCTGCGGCGTAGGTCTTCTTCTGACTCTACAAAGCAACGATCTCGATGGGTTGACATCGTCTGATCGTCAATCAAATAAAGCATGCAGCATGACACATAGGTCCTTAAGTAAACATTACGCTTGCGCGCACACACTCATACAACAAAAGTTGATGTATCACGTGGTGACCCCCACGAGATCGCTTCACTATAGTGTAGAGTTTCGACGATACAGGGGGAGCCACGCACTCGTGCGCAGCGGGTCATACAATTAACTGACAACGTATGACAAAAAATTTGCAAATTAATTTTTCGTAAATAACTTTGCGCAGGTAAATATGCAGCACGCATTGTATTCGATAATTCAATCGACTGTTTGTTCATAGAACCCGTCCCCGATCTCGTACTGCATACTGGATCTTTCTACTTTCCTGTTTCCGCGGATAAAAGTTTACTCATCTGTTGTTGTATTTCAATGCCCTTTCACCACTGACCAGCGATAAATTTAGCTATTTCCATGAAGACGCTCCCCACCCCCGGCTCCCTGCCCCCTTAGGCTTAAATGTCCTCGAATAAAGCTTTCGACTTTAGTCGGCTTTAACCAGTCCACACCCTGGCTCCGTAATATGAAGGCCTCGTTTTAACTTGTAATGAAAAGCTCTAATATACATCATTTGTAATGCCGCCAGCTTTCATTGATGTTCTGACTGTAGGCAGTGCAATATTTTCATTAAAGCAGATATCATTCTAACCATCATTAATCTACACAACACCTCACCTAGTCAGGATGTATTCGTACAAACTATTGTCCTTTCTCTGCGCTCTCACACTTTCCTTCTCCGAAACCAAAGTAGGATTCCTTATCTCAAAACAAGACAGGTACAACAATGCCCTGAAGAGCTTGTCCAGCTACGCCGCACAGAACGTTTCCTATACTCTGGTAACAGTGGAGTATGATGACACCAAACTGCAGAGCATGATAGAAGCATGTTGTCAGCTGGTGACGGAGGGAGTTTCTGTGGTCATCACCAAAGGAGATTCTCCAGACACCGCCATTCAGTCGGACATATTCTCACCCTTGGAAATACCACATATAGCAGTCTCAGCGACCGATCCGTTTCTTTGGAATAAAAATCGGGAATACATCATTCGAATGTTGGCATCGGATTTTTATCAGAGTGAAGCTATCTACGATTTGATCAAATATTACAACTGGCACGAAGTTTCAATTCTGGCAACGGCAGATTCGTATGGACTAAACGGGATGATAAAACTAGAGAATTTACTTTTAACAGACTCAAGTGTAGAGTTAAAAGATTTTCTCATTTTCTCAGCAGATAATACTACAACGGAAATATCAGGCCCACTGTCAGAGATCCGGCACTCCCTTGTCAAGGTTATCGTACTCAATGCCGCAGCTGAGTTTGGGAAACGTGTCCTGGAAAAGGCCCACGAGATAGGTCTGATGGGACCAGAATATGTGTGGATAGTTACAGATGCCATTGCGGCACAGCCTCAATATTTAGCGGAAGATAATGGTAACTCCTTGAGTTTTTATGAGGGATTAATAGGGATCAAGCCAGCTCAAATAAAAAGTAGCAAGTACAAGAAATATAAGGACTCTTACATTTTGAATGTCGGTAAAGCTGAAGATTTGACCAGTTACACAGATCTTACTTTTGATGCAATAGGATTTGTTGACGAAGCACTGATCGGAGTTTCAGAGGACATTACACAAGACGTGGATTGTTCTTCTGAATCAGAAGGTTGGAACCAAGGTAAAACTGTTCTGGATTCAATACTACAAACCAGGTATACGGGAATTTCTGGAGAAATCAATTTTACAATTAACGGAGAAAGGAATGAGCCGTCTTACGAGATACTGAACTTTGTGGATGATAAGTTTAGTACGGTCGGTACTTGGACCAACTCATCAGGCCTCCAGATGACACAAAACATGCAGTTTTTTGACGGAACCAATATCGTTCCAACTGGTGTTAATAAGAATCTGGTAGATAGACACTTAAGATTAGGGACAGTCGAGGAGAAACCTTTCATGTTTCATTCCACAAAGGAATGCGAAGGAAATGCCTGCTGGTCGGGAATGGTTAACGACATGGTGGTACGGCTAGCTGAAGAGTTGTCTTTCACATATGAGTACATTTCCCCCGCTGATTTAAAGTTTGGAGCAAAAAACGAGACTACCAAGGAATGGAATGGGATGATCGGAGATCTGCTAGCGGATAAAACTGACATAATAGCCATCGACCTATCAACTAACTCAGCCAGAAAAACTGTCATTGATTTCAGCTTCGCGTTTATGGACGCAGGCTTAAAAGCGGTGGTGAAGGGTGAATCAAAGACAGGTAACAAATACTTCTTTTTGTCTCCATTCGACCCTCTCGTCTGGTTGATGGTTCTGCTTTCATATTTCATCCTGGTTGCTCTCATCTCCTGCATTGGTAAGTTTTCTCCCTATAGTAAGTATGGAACTAAACTTTACGCCGTGAAAACGTGTTCTTGTAACGAATGTACAGGACAGAGAGATGAAATGAAGAAGAGACGGTGCTCAATACATGGTAATAAGCTATACGGTTGTCTGATAGACAAGGCAGAGGAAGAGGGTAAAAGTGATGAGGCTTCCTTTATCAGCTCGTTGTGGATGATGGCCACTGGTGAAGTGGAATTGTCAATTCCCGCACTCCCTTGTATATCCGGACGGTTCCTCATCATTATTTGGTGGACTTTCATGTTGGTTGTAACCTCCATGTACACCGCTAACCTCACTGCCTCCCTTACTCTCAGTAACCTCGGCACTTCTTTGAAGACAGTCCTTGATTTACTGGCACAGGATACGTACCAGTGGGGGGTTATTGGGAGCAGACATCCTGAGACTCTTCTGAAGACGCACATGGACACCAGATACTTGAGAATTGCTAATGAGGGAATAAAGTTACAGAACGTTTCAGATGCCCTGGATACAGTACGTCAAGGTAACTTTGTCTTCATAGATGAGTCGCCCGTCCTGGCATACAATCTCGGAGGGGACTGTGATATATTTTCTGTCGGAGAAGAGTTTCAATCCTTTGCGTACGCTTTTGGTTTACCAAAAGACTCTCCGTATGAAACTATTATAGACACATATCTCCTAAAGTTTAGAGAAGAAGGTTTTATTGACAGTCTGTGGGAAAAGTGGACAGGGGGAGCTACCGTTTGTTCCACATCAGTCATGGCAGAGAAGGGTACGTTGGATCTGGACACTTTAGCGGGAGTGTTTTATTTACTTAGTGCAGGAGTCGCGATTTCTTTCATCCTGTTTTTGGTTGAGTTTGTATATGTTTCTGTTAATGAATCAATGCAGATCGACGGCCTAACTTTTATGAAGGCTTTGAAAAGACGCTTTAGATTTATCAGCAATGATTTGTCAAACGGAAGAAAACTTCATGATCAGAATTCAGATAATTAGAAATGAAGATGTTGACGAAGCTATAGTAGAAAATGTGACTACAAGCAAATGCAATGTAGCTGAGGAGGCAGTAGTAGTACATGGGAAGGCAACGAAGACATGGACCACCCTAGAACAAGTGTCTCCTTCCGCTTTAACTAAATCGCTAGCCGAAATTTTTTTTAATTCTGAAAAGGCGATGAAGCTAAAATAATTATAAATTAAGATGTTGACAAAGTTATAGTAGGTAGTGCACCATCGACAGTGAGCCGCGCGTGCCGACTGTAGGATGGTTTTTTAGCGCTAATTTCGGCCAGCACAATTTTCTTCAAACAAATAGATATTAAGTATCCTTCCCGACCTCCGATTGCAACAAAAATTGGTAAGCTTACTCATAGACTTACAAGGAAAGTGTCCGAAAAGTTTAAAGCATATCTAACCATCAGACATTATGTTACAGCTAAAAGCAGCATATTTTGCCCCATTTTGATCACTATATCAACTCCGATATCCACCAAATTTTTCGGACAGTTGTGAAAGCACTATTGGAAGGTCGTCGCCAATTTTCAGAATGATCTCATTCAAGGAACTGAAGATATATCCAAATAATACGACAAAAACCAACGAATTTGGTCAAATTTGGTCAAATTACGCGACTTTTACAGCTAATTTTGCTCCTAAAGCCGCGCACCATCAAATATGACACCTAGGCGAAACTCACTGATTTTTCCAAAAAGGTATGACAAATTTGGTATTGTGAAAATTCTCACAGTCTCTAGAAAAGAATGGTACAAAAAATTTTAAAATCCGAGCAAGTTTATTTTTATGGTGCACCTCCTAGTTATAGTAGAAAATTATGACGGCGGATTGTAAATTTGGTAATTGTGCTGTGTACACTGTACACACTTGTGTTAGATTCTTTGTAAATTATTTAAAAACGACGGTTTAACTTAAAATCAATAAACATATCTAACAGTAACACGTGAAACGTACCCCTACTAAGAGTAAGGGAGCGTTGTCATACGTTGTATGACCCGCCACGCACGAGTGCGCGGCTCCCCCTGTACTGAGCTGTAAGTGTAGCATGTAGAAACGCTACAATTGGGGTCACGACGTGATAGTGATACAAAGGGAGCGTTCACATATTATGTGATATAATTGTAGCGCGATGCACTACTTGGTCGCGCGCGCATCAAATAATGCTTCTCGCGAGATGCACCACTGTGCCTCACCGAGCTGCGAAGGATTGACATCGTGAATCAAGTGATATAACGTCAGCAAGATTTTGACCAATTTTACCCCCTCCCCCTGTCACTGTCAGCAATTGACCCCTGAAACCACCTTCAAAACCTATCTTCTCCTAGAACTTTCATCCGTATCATTTCAAATTTAGAACATATGTTCCTGACAGAGGCACAATCGATTATAATGCATGATGCAGTGATTTTTTAAATTTTGCTCCTTACTATTTTTATGAGGTTAACTGTTGACAATTTCGTGACGGTACGCGCACTTATGACCGTAGGAGATGTGGATGATGATTAATCACTTTAAGTCTACACTCGACTGTCACGTGAATTTTTCAACCCGTTCTCTAGCTGGACCTGAACGACTATTCGAAATTCCCTAACCCTCTAATCTGATCCCAACCCTAACCCTAACCCGATCCTTAGCAAAAGCATATGCTGAAACCCTAACCCTAACGAGAAATTAGAGTAACTTCCTTATACGGTCATATCTTACCTGGGGACCCCAGGCTATTATGTTCATAAACATAAACCGAATAAAGATTCGGCGGAATGACAGGCTGAGCGCCGCCCAGTAAGGTCATATCACGTGATCGAGACAGTTCTTCGCCAATATCTCGTCAGGGGAGCATTTCACCCCTATGTCATGGGGGGTGATTCGGAATCAGCGTCCGAAAATACATCGATTGAAGTTAATTACAACTGTTGGGGGCCCTTTTAGAACAATCTCGAAGATCGACTGTAGAGTGATTTAGTTGTATCACGTGGTAACCCCCACTGTCGCTTCACTATAGTATCGTCACTATAGTATCGTCACTATAGTATCGTCACTATAGTATCGTCACTTCGTGCGCGACGGGTCATACAACGTATGACAATGATTTAGCACGCTTGCTACTTATCAGATTTTAAGATATTCATTTATGCAGTGGCGTAACAAAAGCCCCGCTGACCCCGCAAAATCGTCGTTCGCGTTTGAATGTGGGACAATTTTGAAAAACTCAACTGAGGTACCAGCAAAACTGTGCGTTTTGCTCTAGAAACGCACTTTTTTAAAGATTTTGCCAGCGTATCCTCTAAATTAAATGCTAAAATCACCTATTTTGTTCAATTTTAGGGAGGGGCGCCAACAGGGGAGGGGGTGCATTTTCGGCGGGGGCACCAACAGGCAACGTTACGCCATTGCATTAATGTCCCATTTCTGAAGTTATCTAGTTGATAGTAATAATTAACTTTGTAAATTCAAAGTTAACGAACGTTATTAATAATATTTGTGTATTATTCTTGTCCAATATGTAAATTGTCTTGATCTTACTTTATTGACATACGTTGCATGCCACCTTTCGCGCGCGAAGCGCGCGCCGCCGAAGATATATATTTGGGATACGTAACATGTATCAATTACTTTATTACGTCGTGATCTCCTGGACCCTTCCTGCCGCGAAGACACATTTCAATAAATTGTATTTGACCATTGTTAATGGTGATCTGGCCCGGCGCGCGCTACTTCGAAGAAATTTAGACGAGTAACATCCGTCAAAGTTGTATGTATTACGCATTCACATAGCCATGTGTATACGCGTACGGCGGTCGCGCGCTACTGCAAGCGAGAGGGCTCTGGTTAGAGCAACCTGGGGACCTCAGGCTATTATGTTCAATAGAGATTCGGCGGAATGACAGGCTGAGCGCGGCCCAGTAAGCCGCCGATAGATTGTAAGCTGTTAACGGGTGATACTCGTAAAATGATTGTTTCAACCGTCGACGAGTCCAACTCGGCGCGCGTCCTGGTAGATTATAAACCTACAAGTAACGAACGTGCTGATAAGACTACCTTGACATACGTTGCATGCCACTTTTCGCGCGCGACCTTCAACCTTTACAACAAATGAACATCCAACTAACTCCTAATATGGACATCATCTCTTCGGACTCCAGGGCCACTAGGTAGTGGTACCCATACCAATACCCCTACAGCAAACAAATAATTTGAGATCATGCATACGATGTTGTAACATTGTTGATACAATGTTACAACACTTCGCGCGCGAAGAGTGGCATGCAATTACGTACGTCAATAACATTGAAACGTTGACAGTTTAGTAATTTCCTTGCCTAATAAAAGAATTTTTTGTCGCATCAAACGGGATCAATACAAATTTACACAAGGATACATTTCAATACGTACGTAGATCAAATTTATTGGATGTACTTTTGGTAAAAATATAGCGCGCGCCTAGCCTATTATATATTTGATGTATCAAATATTTTTGATTTCTGCTCAACAGATTGACATACTTCATTATGATTATAAATTGCAATATTTTTTGGTTGTTTTGTCAATTGTTTTGAGTTTGATGCACATTGCGTACGCGCGTTCGAAATTTTGATTTGAGTTACCTATATTAATGTAATACATTAAATTTCATATTAGTTTGTAGTTTTTAAATTTTGAATGGATACAGTTAATCGTTTTTATTGTTGATCCTGCATATATCAATGATTTGATTTACGATTTATGTGCAAGAAAAAATCGTTCGATGAAACTAGTTTGTATTATAAAGCAACAGTAACAAATACTTTCCGAACGTGGATTGAATATTTTGTGCGCGGCACCCTTTTCACGTGGCATCCTAGGCTATCCATGCATGAAAGACGTGAGCAACAGACTAGCAGGCTATATGGGAAAACAACTTTTTTAGGACAACAAATTTAAATTTTAAGTTTTTAAGGATCATACATCACTACGAGTTACTCATGCTTTTGAATTATAGGAGTGCGGATTGTCAAGTATTTAATTCATCCAGGCTACACTTAGTCGGTTTAAAGCTGTATATTTAGAACTCACTATTGTTGAAATTATGAAAGCAGAACGTAGATAATGGACAATATACCGACGACAATACCAAAGACCCGAGCGAGCGTGCTAAATCACTCTACAGTCGATCTTCGAGATTGTTCTAAAAGGGCCCCCGACAGTTGAAACCAACTTCAATCGATGTATTTTCGGACGCTGATTCATGATTCCGAATCACCCCCTATGACATAGGGTTAAAATGCTCCCCTGTCGAGATATTGGCGAAAAACTGTCTCGATCACGTGATATGACCGTATAAGGAAGTTAGTCCAATTTCTCGTTAGGGTTAGGGTTTCAGCATATGCTTTTATTAAGGATTGGGTTAGGGTTAGGGTTGGGATCAGATAAGAGGGTTAGGGTTTCGAATAGTCGTTCAGGACCAGCTAGAGAACGAGTAGAAAAAGTCACGTGACAGTCGAGTGTAGAGTGATTAATCATCATCCAGACCCGAGTGCACTCGGGTCTTTGGTATTGTCTTCCGCATTGACTTTTCCGGATCCGTTTTTACCAAAGGCTCATTCACCAGTTACTCATGCTGCATGTATAGTCTGATAATATTTATTTGTTTAATTCTCTAGCAAGCATTCTGTAAATCGGAGTGTCACATTTATTTATATTATAAAAGAGCCAGCCAACCTCCGCATTATAATCTTTTGTGTGCCAAGTTCGTTGACAAAATCTAATCATATAATAAAATTGATCCAATAAGTTAAGATGAACAGTATATCATAGCTCATCGTTGTTAAAATCCGAATTGATGAATTAATCAAGTAATGTTCCCTTTCAACACAGCTAAACAACAATCCAATGCTTGCTCACCAGTGGTGACGCGATCGTAGGGGCATGCAGTTGGTTAGGACAACTCTCACCCTCATTTGCGCCATACTGGACACATTTGATATTTAATATTCTATGGTTTG